GAAATGATATGACATACAAATCATTATTTATAGATTTAGCTAATATAGTTCATTGCAACAGTTAATTTAGGCTTAATTAGGCATAAGACCATTTATTTTATACACAGGCTTACCTTTTTACTAGTAGAAGTAGAAGATCGCTGAGCCATTTATTTTATAAAACAGATTATTGATAATAAATCGTGTTATTGACAAAAAAAACAACAAACGGTAACTTAAATTAATTGAATTATTTTTTAAAATTGTATTTTAACTGGGGTTTAATAAAATTAGAATTGTAATTTGACATTAGACAAGAACTCTTTATCAAACTTCCGGCGACGTTTATTTAAAAATGCAATCGATGTTAAAACGGAATGCCAAGAAAAAATTGAAAAAAGAAAAAACTTTACGGCGCATCATTCATTTTCGGCGAATTTTTGGCGGACAAAATCAAGCGGCTAATACGGCCCGCCACATCTTTTTAGGCGGACAAAAATTTGGCGGCGAATTCGGCGCCGGCTGAGGGGTCTACCCCAGATACCAGGATATCAGGGAGAAATATTTTAGAGCCACTAACTTAAAAACACTATTTGATAATGTCGATCCTGAGAAGGTACTGGGCTTTATCCGGGAAGTGGGGTTGTCTACGAAGATCTGAATTATGAATTTGTGGACATGTATTATTTACATTAGATTTTTACCAAATAATTAAATTTTTACTATCTTTACTATTTTAACTGTGAATAGACCTTGATTTTAATGATTTGACTATAGAATTTGGCCCTTTTTGTCTAGAGAGAGATTAGTCCTTAAGGGACTGTAGGCACGACATGGCCTAAATTATGCCGATGTGCCTAAAATCAAAAACCAAACCTGATACACTGATAAGAAATTGCTTTATATCCCCGCTATCCTGTCTACAGAAACTTTGGTTTAGCTGTTTATGATGGTAATGCCAATCATTAGTATTTTAAAGAGAAATAAAAAAATTCCTTTAAAATAATCATTGTAGTAAATAGCAGAGGTGGACAAATATCTTATCAGACAGTTTGACAATTCTTATTTACGCTACATTTGCCAGGTGTGTTTTGACATTTGCTCACACTTTTGAAATAGTGATTTTTTTAAAATGTAAGTTTTATGATTTTATTGCATTCCTGTTTTTTTTTTTTTTTACATTCTTAATTCTTTTTGTAAATCTTTTAAAAAATATTTCGCCTTTCCATAAAGGTTGTAATGTGTGTATATAATGTATTGTTGAGAGTTAGTCATATCATAGGATCTAACTTACAATGTTGTTTTTTTTGCATATATATATATATATGTATTGAATAGTTATAATTTATAGTAATCGAAATAAAATTGAGAACTAAACAACCATATCTTTTTTTTTAATGATTTTTTAAAAAATGTGCACTATTTCCTTTCCTTTATTTTCATTGCTAATCTACATCATTGTCTAATGACCTCCTCTTCCGTTGTGTTGACGTGGTACAAACTGTCAAACCTGACTAAACAAAGGGACGTGACTCATAGGATTATGTCTCATTGTTATTGATCTTTCTCTTTACCAGGGAAAACTTAATCAAGCTGGACATTATTTGATTACGTTTACTAGGAAAGGGAAATTACTTACATACCTAAAATTAAGTGGGATGTATGAGGCTAAGTACGCTTCAGCTTGGCCTGGCTACCAATCAAGAGGGCTTGAGGTTCGACACTCAAAAGTCGAGAAGAATTGTGTTTTACTGATTGCCTACAGGTAGAATGGAAAACCTTCTCCCAGATACCCCTCCTCCATTGGTCAACAAATGAGCTTGGACCATAGCGCTCTGAGCATGTTATAAGCATTAAAGTTGTGTTAACCACTTCCTCTAATGGTCGTTTCCACCCGGTTGCGACGATGAGGCAGAACAGCGTACCCTGGTGAGAAATATCCTAAAAATACACTGATACGACAGTAGAAACCACCAAACTGTGGGAGATGAAAGGGCAGAAAAATATAGAGGTGCAGATCTTAGAGAGGAAGTGGAGATGGATTGGTCACACCCTTAGAAAAGATACCAACAATAGAGCTAGGCAGGCCTTAGAGTGGAACCCCCAGGGAACAAGACGTAGAGGAAGACCAAAAAGAACATGGCGACGCAGTGTACTAGAGGAAGCAGAGAGGACTAGAAAGAGCTGGGAAGCCATAAAAAAAAACTAGCAAGAGACTGTGGAGAGTGTGTGCTTTTACTGAGGCCTTATGCTCCACGAGGAACTCAAAGGAATGATGATGAGGATATATGCTAAAATTATATAAATCTTTTTTTTTCAAATGCTATGAAAACTTAAAAATCTAATTTCAATTCGTCTCGCGTTTTCTAGATATTTAAACATAATATTTAAGTTTGTCTTCTTTGACAGCAGTAAACCTGAAATGAATGAAACAAATCGATTGAGACGGAGAAAACAGACTCTAAGGGGGACTCTTTACCCTTATAAAGAATGACATTCTAACCACAGACATAACTCAGCACAATCAGAAAAGCTGATTGTTCCTGAAAGAAATCTTAATATATTTAACTGGTAGTTACAATGAACTTGAGATTGATCACATACAGATTTCTAAACCAAGTGTCTTGTTTTAGGGGATACTAATAGTCACTCTCAGAGTTGGGGATACACAGACCTCAACGCCAGGGGAGAAGAAATATCTTGCTAAACAAACCCTTATTCTTAATGGCCTGGTTAACATCAACCACTACAGGTCTAGCCTTTCAACCAACAACACATTGAAAAAGTGCACAAGAGATTTTGTAGATCAGCTAGCCACCAGTGACCACAGGCCCAAACAAATCAGGTTAACAAGTCGTACTCAGCTTTAGTCAAAGGAATCCTCCTAGCAGCTAAGGAATCTATCCCTAGAGGAGCAAGAAACTGGTCTGATCATCTACAGAAACCCAACAATGACACTATCGAATCTAGAAACACGCTAGAAGATACTTAGATAGCCCTGTTATAGATTCTAGAAAAATATATAAGCCTTACTTTCTACTTTATAGTATACTAGTTTTAATTTTAACCCGCGCTTTGCTAGGGTTTTATTTCTTTCTACAAATAACATGAATTTATTCCGTTTGTATAAATCTGATTGAGATAAGAAGTAGATCTAGACATAGTAACATCTATCAGTGACATCACTAGGGGGGGGGGTGCTGGGGGTACGGTCCGCACACTGGCGGGGGGGGGGGGCGGTAGGGGCGATCGCGGACGAATTTTAGTATAGAATTCACAATTGTATACGAATTTATTACTTATGTTAATAATATATACTAATTATTTATATTTCAACCTATTTTTTTTATTCTTTCGCCCCCTCTAGTATGTTGGCTGATTTGGTGGGGTCGGGAGGGGACGATGGTATCAATCCCGCCCCCCCCATACACTTTCGAGTGGGGGGACGGTCCAATTTATTTGTAGAAATCACAGCTTGCTAACAGAATCAATTAAATATCTATATGATTAAAAATTGTTATTGATATTTTAACCGATCTTTATATTATGTCGTTCCCTGTTTGCCGATGGGGGGGGGGGGGGCTAATACTCTACTGCCCTTCCCACCTAAACCCTTTGAATGGGGGGGGGGGGGGCGGTCCTACTTTTATGGAGAAATCATAGTTTGTGAACAAAATTAGTTGAATTAATATATAAATTTGGGACTATAACTCACAATTTATACTTCAATTTTATTGAATATTATTTATCGAATAATTTTTTTTCCGCGGCGATCCTCAAAGCCGAAATCTAAATATGTGGGGTATCTTATCTTTTCAAGGAACAAATCGGTTTTATTTGCAATGTATTAAGGGCCTATAAATTCATATTAGAATATTTTTCAAGTACAACATTATTCAAAAGATCCTTTTTTTAATGAGCTTTAGGTCAGGAGATTGCTTTTCTTCTGTGAAGAATGCAAGAAAACGTTTTTGGCGTCGGGGTTTCGCCCGAACCCCACTGATGAATAATGAGCTGTAGATGTCATGAGAATGCGTTTCTGCAGTGAAGAATGCAAGAAAATGCTTTTGGCGTCGGGGCTTAGCCCCAAACCCCACTACGGAACCTTATAGCGCTGCCCCAGTTTTTCGCCGAAGGTTGAGAAATGCTGCGTTTTAAAATTATCATATATACATATATATATATGTGTGTATGTGTGTGTGTGCTGTGCACACGTTTATGCATAGGGTTAGGGTTTACTGGGCGTTAGGGTAGGGGTTTGGATAAAAATCGCCCGTTAAGGGGGGAGGGGTGACACCCAAGTAAAAAAATGAACTTTAGGAATAATTGACGATTAAAAAAAACGACAGAGGAACATGTTATTCACAATTAATAAATATATCTATATACTTTTTTTTCCTTTCGATTAAACATATTGTAATTTTTTTAATGAAATTCTATCAAAATGTTTAAAATGTTATACTCAATATCACAAGGAAAACGTGAAATATTACTTTGAGATGTTTACCAGCTGCATGTATTTATATGAACATTGATTTCATTCAAAAAATGTTTTAATCGAATCTATTGAGTTTGTAACTAGCACAGTAGTATCGGAATGCCAACCAATTGTCATTGATTAACAAATGACGACATTCTTCAGGCAAAGAATATTATTTAAATGTCTCATTCAATTAATGTAAAGTTTAAAGAATTCGAAAGTCAATAAGTGGCCATTGAAATTTCTGAAGATAATGATGCAATTCAATTTTTCTGTAAAAGAAGCTCTAGCCAAGAGGAAGGAAATGTTACAATGTGTCAGTCCACTGATATACTTGAATATTTTAGGGGATTTTACTTCTTGGCGTGTGCCGATTTCACATGATTAGCAATCATTGATGAATGCATTTGGAGCTATCCAACCAAATAATTCTTTAGTTCACGAATAACGAAGTATACTAGATATCAGTTTCAAAATATTGGCGTATTTGATGAATTCTCAAAAGGCTACATTCTATGAGAGATAGTATAACTGAAAAAAGATTTAAAGGCAACGAAAGTTATTCTTGAAGAAAACAAGATTACAAAGAGAGTTTGTGTTGTCAGACAAACTCAGAGGCGGCCCCCGTGGGAGACGGATCACTGTCGGATCCGCATATTCGCTGGTCGACTGAGGATGGCATCGAGCAGGGTATGAAACCGAGACCGAGAGATAATCAGTTTTGCGCGCTAACCGCACGACCAGGCATTGCTCTTAATCTAATGACAAACTGGTTACAAACTAATAGCCTACTATTGATAATATATCTACACATTACGGAATGACAACTACCGGATATGTACAATATGTCAGGATAGCGATTTTAGATAATATTTTGGTATTGAGAATTTTCATTTAGGCCTAAATGGAACTGGAATGAGGATGTAGATCTACCTAAATTAAACTACTAATTTAGCACTCTCAATATCTATATCTACTAGATCTAGATCTAAAATATAAATTTGGGATAATGTAGATGTAATTTAGATAAGATTTATATATATATAAAAACACTAGATAATCAATGAATAGACTAATTGCAAAATCTAAATATTAAAATAGTAGATTAGTTTTAGTATTTTATAACATTGCAATATTGACATATTGACAATCTAGACTTTAGAAAAAAAAATCTACACTTTAAGCCTAGAAATTAAAATTATAGATCTTGATCTAGTCTAAATCATGGTTGTCTGGTGGTGCGGTTTGCGCGCTGGACTGTCGTTTGGATTCATCGATGGTCCCAGGTTCAAACCCTGCCCGCTCCTTTCCCTCGTCGTCCTACGGGAGGTTTGGACTACAACTCTGGAAAAATGTAAAACAACAAACATTCTAAACTAGACCAAGAAATTCTAGATCTAGATTCTATAATGATTTTAATTAGAACTTAAATCTAAAGCTAGTTTTAAAAATCTAGCTCTAGTGTAAGAAAAAAATCTAGATCTAGTGTAAAAAATCTAGCTCTAGTCTAAAAAAAAAATCTAGATCTAGTGTAAAAAATCTAGATTAGATCTAAATCTAGCTATTGTCTTTTTAAAATGCGAGTCACATTTAGAGGTTTAATAAACATTACTATACCGAATTGTTTTAGCATTTAAAGAATTTATTCCATATGACGTCAAAGGAAAAAATCCACTTCGTCACACGGCCTAGTTAGACTAAAACATATCATCTATACGAGCAACTTGTTGAGGGTTAATAGACATTGGTGCACCGAGTGATTTCCTTTAGCATTTCATTTAAAGAATTAACTCCATATGACGTCAAAGGAAAAAAATTCCATTACGTCACACGTCCTAGTTAGACTAAAAAATGTCTTCTGTACGAGCAGCTTCTCGAAGGCTTATAGACATTGGTGCACCGAGTGAGATCTTTTAGCATTTCATTTAAAGAATTAACTCCATATGACGTCAAAGGAAAAAAGTTCCATTACGTCACACGTCCTAGTTAGACTAAAAAATGTCATCTATACGAGCAGCTTCTCGAGGGTTCATAAACATTGGTGCACCGAGTGAGTTCTTTGAGCATTTCATTTTAAAGAATTAAATGTGTTTCTTGCAACGTTTAAGCATGGAAATAAAATCTACTATAACTTAGAAGTGGAAACAAATATTCATTGGCATTGATTTGTTTTTCACAAAACATCCGGAACAATCTATTATAGATAATTTAAGCTATTGCAATATTTCTGAATGAAAAATTAAACGTTAAATCAGATTTACAATAGCCTCTAGTGTTATTTGTTAATCTAATCGTGACGGACAGACCGACCAACAGGCAAAACGCACAAAAATAAGCTTCTTTTATTCGGATGGGGGCACTAAACAAAAAATAAATAAAATCTGATTTTTTAAAAAAGTTTAAGGAATTGGTTTAGCACCATAGCATGTTGCGACGTTACGCTACTGTACGAAAGTCGCTGCTTTAAAAGTCCATTTTAAAAAATGTGCATTATATTTACATACAAAGTGCATTATTAGCCTTTGTAAACAAACAGAAATGTTTTCTTTTAATTTTAGCAGCTAGTTAACCAGAAAAAAACATCTTTAAGTATTATTTATATTTGTTGTAAAAATTTCCTGTACATTTTATAAACATATTTGACTTAGTGATACTGAAAATACACAAAAATTATTCATCTTTGTTAGCATATTGTAACATTGCCTCCCTTACATTTACGTAATTGTTTTAGAATTGGTGTATTTTTACGAAAAAATCGCTTAATTAATTTGATAAATTAAATGGTTTGCTTTTAGAAAACCAAAAGTAGCCGTTGCACTTAAACTTTTCAAGCCGGATTTAATAATGAAATAATATTTTTCATATCTCTTCTAGTTTTCGAGATCTGAGTGTGACAGACGGACATTTTGCACAAACCTAATAGCGGCTTTTTCCCCTCACGGGGGCCGCTAATAAAAATTGACAGTGCATGATTCATATGCCAGCCAAGAGACCGTAAAAAATATCTCATGGTTGCATTGTTGCAAAATTGAACTATATATTAATGACAATGTCTTTGATTCCGAAGATTAAAGATAAGTGCAAAGTTTCACATGACTACGCAAACCCAGTGAACCAAAGATAAATTGTATAAACATCTGAATTTTAAAATTTAATAGACACTCATTTTATAGTTGTTCAGCAATCTAATAACGTAGATTATTATAAACTATATGCATTATAGCTCAACAAATAAACGAAAAAAAAAGTTTTTTTTCAAAGGAGGGGTGGGGTGACACCCTGAGCTGACCGCGCCGGGTGACACCCACCCTAGTGACGCCACTGACATATATAGATCTAGTCATATACCATTTTGGGAATCAGTGGTCTAGAGTCTAGATCAAGGAGGTTATATTTAGATGGAGATGGCGGTAGCTATCAAATGTTCATTATCGATTGAAGCCAGTGGGCGGAGTCTATTCGCCATATTGGTTTACTCAAAACATTCCATCCGTTTTCATTGCGATAGCAGTTTTCTGATTCTCGTAACGACTCAAATTAGCCTCGTATTTTGTCATCATGTTTTTTTCTAAACTCCTCTAAGGCCCAAGTTCATATCTGGTGGTCTAGATATTCCAATGGATTAATTACAAAGCGCTGTAGAGCATGTAAAGTGATTTATACGATCACCTGATCGAGGCCTACAAAACCGAAATATAATGATTACATCGAAATTAAGCACTATTGTGGGCTGAAAAAAGCACAAAAATGATTTGCAAAAGGTTTGTTATATTTTTGATACTTTTTACCGCACTGAAATCACCACAAAATTGATAAAATTGAAGTGAAAAGAGTACTACTACCTACTACTAATGTTACAGTAATACTAACTAATCTTTCCCTAATTAAACTCTGGCCTTCATCTAAAATCCACTTTTACCAAAATTTATATAAATAATTAAATGGCACTAACAACATTAACTAAACTCTAACTCACTAAAGTTTAGTCTTTAGTGACTAAAAACCAAAGTAACCGATGAAGCGATATCCCGTTTTCCGGTCGTCGTTGCGTACAACCGTATGCCGAACAAGAAGGCATTTGTAATGTTTATTTTATTCTATACACTGTGTTTTTAACGTTTTATAAGATATTGTACAATTTACAGATATTTAAATAATGTCGTGAAATATTGTCGAACAAATTTCTCAAACAGACTACACGTTTTAATTTGAGTAGACCAAGTTGGCTGCGATTTGGCTTCAACCTAGTGACGTCACGCCATCTCCATCTAAATATAACCTCCTTGGTCTAGATCTACCAGGAAACAATATGGCGTGACGCCCCCTACAGCAATGAAAAAGAACAACATAAAAAAACGAAATATCTTTTTATCGGCTCAATATGAATTTGCGACGGTCAGATTCTTTTCTAGATCTAGATAATCGTAGAGTCTTTTAAAACTATTTAAAGTAACAAAGTATTGTTAGATCTAGAATGACTAGATGATAGTATAAAATATTGATTGATGTATCAATCATAATCAATGTATGTCATGTATGAATCAAAATAATCAAATCATACAAATTGTCACAAATGAATCAAATCATTAAAATAAATATTGAATGTAGCCTACTATAATGACTATATTACTATATCAAGTAGATCTATATCTAGTTAGTAGTTACAGTGAGTAGTTGTAGGCTACACTACTGTTACACCCACTGGGCCACTGTCTGTAGTTCCCCCCCCCCCCCCACCCACCCACCCATCCTAAGTTCAGACATGCCTACACTCACGCTTTATGCGGAACCGTCCCGCAAAATCATCAAAAAAGCTCACATGTTCCGCCGTTCCGCATTCACGATTTTTTGTTCCGCCAAGTCTGAATTCCGACACTAAAAAAAAATCGCCGTTTTTTCATTATTTATTAATAGTGCGAATTGAAAATATACTGAGTGCAAAAAAAATATATTTATAGGTCTGTGTTAATTGTTTACATTTCATCTCATTCCGGACCCGGTTTGTCCTAAAAAAAAGGCTAAATTTACGAAGAAATGGTTGAGCTAGTTCTAGACATAGATCTACTGATCTAGGTCTAGATATTAGATCTATACTTAGAATCTAGTAAGTGCTAATTAGCCAAAATATTCCGTTCAAATCCCTTTCTTTTCCCGACAATGGCTCTATTCCCTCTAAGATACTAGATCTAGTCTAGAGGCTAGACTAGGTCACTAGAAAAAAATAGATTACTAGATAACTAGATATAATTATAAATTATAATATGATATAGATCTAGACTAATCTAGTCAATCTAGACTTTATTCTAGAGATAGATCTAGTCTAGATAGATAGTAAAGTTTAGTACTACTCTAGTAGATTAAGTAGATCATAGATCTGACTTTTGTAACACTAACTCCTTGAACTGGTTTCCAAGTAATCTAAGAAAACTTTCAAAAGGATTTTAAAAAAAATACGTTGTCGTTATTAAAGATCTAGACCTAAATGTAATTAAGTAACTTAGAATTAGACACAGTAAGGCTAAGGCCTAAATAAGGCTATAGACCTTCTTTAAATTACAGTCATAGTCTAAATTAGTTTCTAGATCTAGAAGTAGGGCTAGCTCTAGATAACTAAATAATAAATTTATTTTAGTTCTTAATACGTCTATAGACTATAGATCTAGACATAAATATTTAGATCTATAACTATAATATAATTATTATAATCTGTGTACTTAGACTAAGAGGACTTATTAGATATAGTCTAGATCTAGACTAGTACTAGTAACTAATAGACTCTTAAATTATTGTAGAACTAGAGACAACATCTAGTCACATTCTAGTGTGACTAGAGTAGACCC